CTACCGAACGGCTCGTGCACTTGCGAGTATCACAAGTTGAGGATGCAACTGAATCCATTTTGGTGCAGCTGTATCTACACAACACATACCCCAACAAATTAAACATGATTGAATTAAAAATATTTAGCTATAATATGCAACTCTTGAATACTTGTATTTTCTATTTCAGCCCTTTCAACCTTACGATTCCAGCTCTACCCCTGTTAATCATGATAATGAACTCGCCCACTTAAACTCAAGTTTACATATCCCTCTAGAGTAGATTATCACTTATATATATATATTTCCTAGCTAATTGGCTACATTTTATATATATATATATATTTCCTAGCTAATTTGCTACACTTTCAAATATTTAAAGAGTATAGCCGCACGGCTACATATTATTTATTTTTAGCTAATCTTTGTTTTAAAACGTATAGCCGGGCGGCTATACGGTTTAATTTTTAATTATTTAAAGCGTATAGCCGAGCGGCTATACTATTTAAAATTGTTTTAACTTTTTTTCCCCAAATTAAACACGATTTAGTTAAAAATATTTAGCTATAACATGCAACTCATGAATACATATATTTTCTATTTCGCCTAGACTCGGTGTTTTTAATTGTTTTTAAAAAAATAATATAGTCGTGCAGCTATAGTGTTGTATACGAGGCGCCTACACGCGGCTATACTGTTGATCATCATCACCGTCAAGTAACTAAGTCAAAGAGAATATACCGATGATTGATCCAATTACCTGATGTTTGAATATCTACCATCAATGTGACTTCACATTCTAGAAGGAAAAAGCTTAATATAAGAAATTAAAATTGCCAGCAGATGAGAGCTCAGTTATATATGTTAGGCTTTGTAAACTTTATTAGGTTAATATACTCAAAACACATACCTTAATCCGACATTGTGAGAATTATTGCAGCAGGAACTTTGATTTCTTGCACTGGAAGCAAACTGGAATTCTATAGCTGTTAGCATACGGCTCTTTAATCTCTTCTTGATGGGGGAGAATGTGTGTAATAGCCGTTAGCATAGGGACCTCCCTTTTATAGGCATAGTTTAAGAATCCTCCTCATCATGGATTACTTAAACTCCTTTAACCTAAAGGATTAGGTATCTCAATCCATTTAGAGTTAGGAAACCTTAAGCGCTTGTATTTATCTGAAACAGTCATTTATCAAGCCTTAAAATTAATCGATCCATGTAATCCTAATTGACATTGAACTAGTTATCCTTAAGTGATTAGAAGACCATCTTTAGAGTTCGTTTTAGAATGCAAATCTTACAGGCTTGTCATACAAGGCATCGCTGGACACTGATAGTCTCTACAATAAGCACGAGGTCCCCCAAGAAGTTAGTCCAATTATTTACATATTTATGAGGGGCTCCTCTAGATCTTTCTATATCGTTTTCTATTTATAGAAAATAACCAATACATGTATATACAACCTTAGAAGACATGTCTTGCACCGCTCCACAACACAATAAATTGCCAATTGATTTTGAATAGAAATAAATCATCTGGTTTTATTTGAATCTTTTTGGCTTGACGGATGGTTTGACCTGGCTTGTCGTCTAAAGAAAACTAAGGCTATCTTATAAGTTGGTTTTAAGTAGTTCTACAAGCCATCTAATTAATCAACATGTGTATTTTTGAGGCTAGTTTTACATAAAATAATTGCTTAAGTCAAAGAAGAAGAAGAAGGGGAGAGAGAGAGAGTAAATAATTGGTGACACTTGAGGATCAGAGACTCAATCATACCAAAATTATAATAATTTTCCCACTTGCCATCAATCACTCAATCAAAGCATTTGAATATAAATGGCGATATTGTTTTTGGTAAACCCAATCACCTTGTTCATAATGAATTGATATTTTTTCTTCTTTTTTTTTCTTTTTCATGTTTACTCGTGTGATTGATCCAATCCAACGGTGTTTGGGCTATGAGATGCTGGAGAACAACATGGGGTTCAAGTCGTATATGTTGCAACAATGCAAGTAGTAGTGCCCATAAACGACATCAGTGGGTGCAGGATTGAGTGGTCGTTTGTTTGTGATCCGGCTGAGGGATGGAGACTCGAAGATTTTCTTTCGTATTTTCAATCTATCACCTAGAACAATCCAACGCACCGATACTTAACCGATTAAAAACATGGGACACAATCATGAGATTCCCAATTAATATTGATGAGGTTGTTTTGGTAAATCTCTTATGACTTGTTCTTTAGTCTAACGTAACCCAACTTCCATTCCACTCCACTCAACGCATATCGCATATGGGAATCAAAACATTTTAAATAAAATAAAAAAAGAATCTTTGACTTTTGTGGTTGTAAATTGTGATGAGCTAGCACTCAAACTTTCTCATTTTATCGCTCTCCATTCTTTCCATTTGTTTTATTTCTCATGGCAGAAGATCAAATTCCAGAGTCCAAATGGGAAGGCAAAACCTCTGCTGATCGTGCTCCTATTGATAATGATGAGTCCACCATCTCGTGGGCCAAAGAGAAGCTACTGTCCCTTGATCCAATCCAACGGCGTTTGAGCTATGAGATTATTGACAGCAATCTCGGGTTTAAGTCGTATGTTGCGGTCATGCAAGTAGTCCCGATCAACGGCGGAGATGGTAGCATTGGGTGCAAGATCGAGTGGTCGTTTGTTTGCGATCCGATTGAAGGGTGGGGATTGAATGATTTTCGTTCATACCTTGACTCTTCTCTTCAATTGATGGCAGAGAAGATGATGGAGCATACTCTTCTTTCTACCACTGGGTAACAATAATTGTTGTTTGCTAATAATTGTTGGTGTGTTTATATATTATGTAAATAATTCCAAGACTACAACATTGTAGTATGTTTAAGAATTGAATGTTTTATTTCAAGTTATGTTTTACAATAATATTTTATACAAGCGATATTAGAGAATGAGAATTAAAGACGATTTCGACAAAAAGTACCACAGGGAAGAAAAAAATACGAAACAATAGCTTTCAGCCAAGATGAACATTGATCTATAATATACAACCAGAATGATCACAAGCCACCGTGTAAATTGAATTCGTCTATTAAATACAGATTTTGACGATGACAAGCAAACCACAAATACGTAAATAACTTTCAAAATCTAAACGTAATATATGGCCTAACTGCTTCAAAAAAGTGGATCCCCCTCCACACATGGGTAAATTTTCAATTTTTTATTTTTATTTTTTCTGATGGAATGGGGGTGGGTAAAGAATTATGTGACGTTAACATCATCTTCCACGCCAACCCTCAATCTCTTCTCCATCCAATTTATTATATCCTGTGCAATCTCTTCACGTTCCGGCTCGAAGAGAAGGTCGTGTAAGAAACCATCATAGAGCTTTATATCTTTGAACTCTGATGCTGCCTCATTATAGAGATCTTGGGAGGCTAGTGGATCAGTGACTCTATCAGCAGTTCCGTGCAGAACAAAGAAGGGTACGCTCACAAACTTAAAGTTCCGTGTCAAATGAGTGGAGATTCGCAATATCTCATAGCCTGTTCGGACCCTTATCGGGCCAGTATAGACCAGGGGATCGGAATACTTGGCCACCAATGCTGCAGGATCCCTTGAGACTGGAATACCCCTCTTGTTTGCACCTTTAAACTGGAACTTGGGAGCAACCAAAGAGACAATTGGAGCCACAGCCTAGATTACAACATCAGAGAAAAGTTTGTAATATGTAACCATGAATCAATGGTGGAAATGCAAGCAAACATCATATGACACTTATGAGCAACCCTAACCAGAACATAAGTTAGTTAATCGTTATGAGTTTAACACATCTTAAAGGAGTTCTTGGGGATGATAAAATTGCCTA